TATTACACCTTTCGGAGTACCTTTGTATATTACTCCTTTCTGAGTACCTGTCTATATTACTTCTTTCTGAGTACCTTTGTATTTTACTCCTTACTGAGTACCTGTCTATATTACTCCTTTCTGAGTACCTTTGTATATTACTCCTTTCTGAGTACCTGTCTATATTACTCATTTCTGAGTACCTTTGTAAATTATTCCTTTCTGAGTACCTTTGTATATTACTCCTTTCAGAGTACCTGTCTATTATACCTCTTTTCTGAGTACCTTTGTATATTACTCCTTTCTGAGTACCTGTCTATATTACTCCTTTCTGAGTACCTGTCTATATTACTTCTTTCTGAGTACCTTTGTATATTACTCCTTTCTGAGTACCTTTGTATATTACTCCTTTCAGAGTACCTGTCTATTATACCTCTTTTCTGAGTACCTTTGTATATTACTCCTTTTTGCTTTTTCCATGCTCATTCGAATTGGTATCATATATCCTAATGACATATTTCTGGGGTTCCGATTTTTCTCATTAAGCAATAAACGGGGCTTGGCCGTGGGGGAATCGTAATAAAATAATAAAAATCATTTAAAAAGTTAAAAATATCGGACTTAATAAACGGGGTAGTTTTTATAAGTTTAACGGGTGGAGGTCGAAAAACTTCCTTAAAAAAAAAACAAAAATAAAACCGAGTAAACTTCCTAAACTAACGTAGCTTTGGCAGAAAAATGAGTAAATATGGCACCCAAAGAAGATTTAACTCACTAAGTGTTATAGTGGAACACACCTATTCTATAGTTAATAGACTCTTCCACCTATAATAAGTAGGAGTAGTAAGAGTAACAAGGCAGTCGTTCAGTGAGTTTGGTCAGTCAGTCGCTGTCGGACGACCGTTAGTCGGATATTAAAGTATCAGCCACCACAACTAGATTACTGCGTCATTACCTATTATACGTTTTGTACGTCGAATCTATTTTAGGACCGACTTAGTACAAATACAAGCCTCCACTGTGAAACCACTACATAACAACTTGGCAACGAGGGATTCGTACTCACACGCAGGAAGAAAAACCTTTTCGTACACTACATAACACTAAGAAATAATCGTAAGCCAGACAGCGTAGGCCTTGTATCGGGTGAAATAATGTACAAAAAGGAAATGTGATGAGTGGCACAACCAAAGTGTTATATACCGTACCTATGAACACTAACGGGTATGTCCCAATCTTCATGAATATGCTGAACACTATTGTAAGTGGGAGTAAATGTGCTGTATAAGTAGTCCACCACTAGCAGTGGTTGACCTACTTCACGGCGCTGGCGAGTATTGTATTTTGTTGATGTTATAATATATTTCATTTCCAATCTCCGCTTTGGTTATTCCTCATTCAGTAACTTTTTCTAGGTTACAACACAAAGTATGTTGAATCCTTAGCGAGGCGTTTGGGAAAATATGTGAGAAAGGCATCCTGGAAAGACAAGAACTCCTTAAACATAACCTCGGTGCCTGATACGGGTGTGGGTGTCAGTAATTGTTGGAAGAGATTGGAATTCTTCTCAGTCTGCCCTCTTTGTTAACTTTATATCAATCTCTTTAAGAGTTTAACGTAAAGCGTTTTGAAATGTATTTGATGCTGCATCTGCGAAATTCGTGTGATCCATTTCTTGCTCGCATATTGACTTGTAATGAGAAATAGATCCTTTATGACAATCGTAAATGATTGACTCAATGACGTGTTGGCGGCGAAACTCCCAAACATTTTCTAAAACTAAAATTAAACCTGCAGTTGCTTATGGTCCCTGTCTGGTCGTCCGCCATTGTTGATATCCATGACAGCTTTCAAAGTCATCACTGCCGAAGTTAACCGCCAGTAACTGGGGGAAATGAATATTTCGTTAAGCCAAAATGCGACCGGCACTGGTTAAACCGTTTCTGTTTCATGACAATCCCCTCGCAGGATGACACTGCAGAAGCTTAGCGACTTCAGATACAAAACTTTGTCTCATCTACCATATTCAACTGACTATCATTTTTCCACGCATCTTGAGATCTTTTTAAGCCATCTCAAGTAAATTAGCAAGCTGAAGATAAACGAAGTCCATATAAACTCAGCGAAAGTCAAAGAGTTTGACGTTTTGAATTGTGTTCGATGCTACATCTGCGAAATTCAAGGGGTCCATTTCTTGAACGAATAGGCACTTGTGATGAGAAATAGATCCTATATGACAATCGTAAATGATTGACTCAATGGCGTGTTGGCGGCGAAACTTCCAAACATTTCCCAAAACTGATACTAAAACAGCAGTAGCTTATGGTCCCTGTCTGGTCATCCGCCATTGTCGATATATATGACAGCTTTCCAAGGCATCACTGCTGAAGTTAACCGTCAGCAACTGGGAGAAATGCACATTCCGTTAAGCCAAAATGCAATAATACCCCCGCAGGATGACATTGTTCCCCTGACTATCATTTTTCCACGCATCTTGACATCTTCTTCAGCCATCTCAAGTAAATTTGCATGGTGAAGAATTTCGTTAAACGAGGTCCATATAAACTCAGTGAAAGTCAAAGAGTTTGACGTTTTGAAGTGTGTTCGATACTACATCTGCGAAATTCAAGGGGGTCCATTTCTTGATCAAATAGGGACTTATGATGAGAAATCGATCCTTTATGCCAATTGTAAACGATTGGCTCAATGGCTTGATTATAACACTTTCCATAATCGAAATTGCAACAACAGAAGATCATCGTGACTGTCTGATAGTCACCGATCATTAAAAATATCTGGAATCTAACCAGATCCGCATTGCGGATATTTACTGCCAGCAAATGGTTGAAATGCACATTGTATATCCAGTTAAGCAAAATCCGACCGGCATTGGTTAATCGATGAGGTCCAATTCTGTTTCATGGACTGTCTGATACGGGTGTCAATAATTGGTGGGAGAGGTTGGAATTCTTGTCAATCTGAAATAAACAACAGGTCCTAAAAAAAACAAAAACAAAAAAAAAAACGAGTGTTTGGAAAATCATTTAAATTTGTCAAAACGTTAAAAATTAATAAACGGTGTAATCTTAATAAGCACGGGTTGGTTGGAAAATTTCCTAAAAAAAGTCTCTCTCGTCTATTAACACATAAGAGTAATCAAAATTAAATCAACTTAATACACAGAACACAACATCTGCTGCATTTGGGTTATCTTCCAGAACATCTGTGTTGTTTAGAAACGAAAAGAATTCCGAAGAATTCTGTAACAGATTTCAGACTTCTGGGAAGTATTCTGAAAGCTACTGTCATGTTACTTTGAATTCCTGCTGATAATTCTCCCAAACGTATCTCGTAGTCTCCGATGTTTTCCAAGAAATTGAACTCAAGGTAAAACTTTCCGAAAACAATTTGGAATAGAAATGAAGGCAGTGATGGCACCCACTCTGAATCCATCATCAAAATTCAGGGTGTGGAATTAGTAAACACTAAACATTTCAAATACATCGGCATATTGATCTGTAATAACAAATTTAGTTAAGGAGAACAGGAAACTGAACAAAGAATAGGCTGCGCTCGGGGTAGTTTCGGCCAGCACCACAAATTTCGAAGAAACAAAATAAAAATTAACCTGAAATCTTAAATCAGATGGAGACATTCATATGTCATGCATGGTGCCAAAACCGTTCAGAAATGGCTAAATTGTTAGCTGTATACAACCGCCTTTTCAGGTCTATGTTTAAAAATGGCTTTGAACAAGGGAAGCATGTAGGCCTTAGCGAGGATCATACTTTTTCGAACCTCGTGGACTGACGCCACAGACCCCAAACAAAGAACTGTACCAAATAACAGAGACCATGTAACACGAGGACTTCCAACAGCAGCAACAACAAAAAATGAATATTACATGTAAGTCGAAGAAAAAATGATGACGTAATCCGAATAATACACAAAAGTCTACATCTGCTGCATCTGGTTATCTTCCAGAACATCTGTGTTGTCTAGAAACGAAAATTCCGAAGAATTCTGTAACAGATTTCAGACTTATGGGAAGAGTATTCTGAAAGCTACTGCCATGTTACTTTTGAATTTCTGTTGATAATTATTTTCAATCTTGTAGTCTCAGATGTTTTCTCGATTTTGGCGTTTCTTTGACATGGACATTTCTTATTATATACACAATTCATTAATGGCCATTTAAATAAACAGTTTAATTTTTCAAGTTCTCTAAATTAAGTTGGTTGCCAAGGTTTCTTCTATTTGCACGTCATCTTTCTTTTATTCATGTGCACTGTATCAATTAATTGATTAGTTTTTCGGGTTATCAACCTTTTGAAGTTTATTTAAAGCCAGAAAATGTTTCAAATTGTAAGAACATTTTGGCAATAATAATAATTTACTGATAAATCTCTTACTTGGGAGAAGAAGATGATTCATGCCTTTTCCAACAGTAGAAGGGTGACACAGTGCGAAATGGGTTGCTGATCTGAATTGAAGACTTTCAATAGCAGCAACAACTAAAATGAATCGTACATGTAAATCTAACAGAAAATAATGACATAATCAAAGTGTTAACAGTCAACTGTTTCAAAGAAGAGATTAGGAAGTAAACTTCCATCAAAACTGGAAAAAAACAATAACATGTAATGAACTTGAGAAACTTATTTTCCTGAATTATCTTTTTATTAGAAAGATATTATAAATTTCAATCAATAGTAACACTGGCTTCTCGGTTAATTAATGCTGAATGTTTCCTTATAAGGAAACGGCTAATATTTCCTCTTATATATACAGTGTCAGTTAAAACAAATTAAGAAGTCGAAATGTTTAATTCTTACTAAGAATGTCCTTTAAGAATTAATATCTGCGATGATTCGGGATGCGGTACAAGTTGTCGCATTCACAACTGACACAGTATGGAAAGCGATGCTGAAATGAATGCATTGTAATGTTGAAAATAAGCCATGCAAAAATTAAGATCCTATTAACCCTACCATGGTAAACATCTTCCTAGATTCAGAGGCTTACGGCCATATCATGTTGAAATACCAGTTCCCGTACAGTCATCGAATTTAAGCAACGCCGAGGCTGGTCAGTATCTAGATGGGTGACTTCTTGGGAATACCAGATGCTGTAAACTTGTATTTTCCGGTGGTTTAATAGATAACGGCTCGGAATTTCAAACCGGAAAGTCAAGTTCCAATTTCAGTCGGGTTTGTTATATTCATTTACACGCAAATGCTCACCTACCCCCAAGAGCTATAGTTGTCCTGGGTATGACGATAAACTATATCCAACATCAAGGCCTCTCATCGGGAGATTAGAGGTTTTGAGAGGCGTGGAACCACCTGGAAACTGCAGTTATTCACAGGTCCACCCTAATCCGGGGTGGTAGCACCTGTTATGGGCAAATAGTGAAAGCCCAAAATATCAACAGGTCATTTTATAGCAAAATGAGCTTCTTAAACCTATCATGGTAAACATATTTCTAAATTCAGAGGCTTACCGTCATATCAAGTTGAAACACTGATTCCCGTATGATCACTGAAGTTAAGCAACGTCGAGACTGGTCAGTACCTAGATGGGTGACCGCTTGAGAATATCAGGTGCTGTAAACTTGAATATGCGAAATTGGAGAGCCGAGTTCAAATTTCATTAAGGATCTTTACATGCGCAAATACCCTTAGAAAATATATGAATCTATTCACGACGCGCGACGTTGTTTAGTTTCGGTGATCGTACAAGAGCTCGTTTTTTAATGTAATATGGCCGCTAGCCTTCAGAATTCTGAAAGCTGCTGCCGTGCTGCTTGGCATTCCTGTTAGTCATCCCCCAAAACATATCTTGTAGTCTTAGAAGTTTTCTTTATTTAGGATTGTCTTTGACAAGGATATCGGTTATCATGTACACAATCTACCGCTTGTCGCTTAAATACATAGTTTTATTTTTCAAGCTTTGTAAATTAAGTCAGTTGCAAACATTTTTTTTCAGTTTATGCGTCATCGTCCACATCTTGATTGTTGATCTATTTCTTCATGTGCTGTTTTCCCTCAAGACGTAGACGATCATGGCTCTCCTCAATTTCCTTTCCTTTGTAGCTCTTAATAAATTTTGTGTTTTTGTTATCTCTCCTAAACCCTGTTCCACCATCCATTTACTCAAGCTCATTTTTCTTCTTTATGTGCCATGTCCCTTCTGGATTTAGGCGATCATGGCTCTCCACAATTTCCTGTCCTTGTCCTTTCGAAACAAATCTTGTGTTTTTCTTATCTTTCCTAAACCCTGTTCTGCCATCCATTTACACAAGCTCATTTTTCTTCTTTAAGTGCTATGTTCCTTCTGGATGTAGGCGATCATGGCTCTCCACAATTTCTTGTCCTTTGTAGCTCTTAATAAATTTTCTCTTTTTTCTATTTCTCCAAAGCCATCTTCTCCCATTCATTTACTCAAGCACGTCAAGTACGTTATACGCTATTTTCTTCTCTCCCACTTGCTTTCAATCTACCCAGTGAGTATCAGATTTTCCAAGCCCTCTTTCTACATTATGTGCCGCAACTATCTTTTCCTGATGTTAAGTATAAGTTTCCTTTTTGTTTCCATTTTCTCTAAAACTTCATCGTTGCTCACATATTCGGTCCATGGTATCCTCAGCATCCTTCTGTAGAAATTTCAACTGTCTCTTTCTGATGTTAAGTATAAGTTTCCTTTTTGTTTCCATTTTCTCTAAAACTTCATCGTTGCTCACATATTCGGTCCATGGTATCCTCAGCATCCTTCTGTAGAAATTTCAACTGTCTCTTTCTGATGTTAAGTATAAGTTTCCTTTTTGTTTCCATTTTCTCTAAAACTTCATCGTTGCTCACATATTCGGTCCATGGTATCCTCAGCATCCTTCTGTAGAAATTTCAACTGTCTCTTTCTGATGTTAAGTATAAGTTTCCTTTTTGTTTCCATTTCTCTAAAACTTCATCGTTGCTCACATATTCGGTCCATGGTATCCTCAGCATCCTTCTGTAGAAATTTCAACTGTCTCTTTCTGATGTTAAGTATAAGTTTCCTTTTTGTTTCCATTTTCTCTAAAACGTCGTCGTTGATCACATATTCGGTCCATGGTATCCTCAGCATCCTTCTGTAGAAATTTCAACTGTCTCTTCCTGATGTTAAGTATAAGTTTCCTTTTTGTTTCCATTTTCTCTCAAACTTCGTCGTTGCTCACATATTCGGTCCATGGTATCCTCAGCATCCTTCTGTAGAAATTTTAACTGTCTCTTCCTGATGTTAAATATAAGTTTCCTTTTAATTTCAATTTTCTCTAAAACTTAGTCGTTGCTCACATATACGGTCCATGGTATCCTCAGCATCCTTCTGTAGAAATTTCAACTGTCTCTTCCTGATGTTAAGTATAAGTTTCCTTTTTGTTTCCATTTTATCTAAAACGTCGTCGTTGCTCACATATTCGGTCCATGGTATCCTCAGCATCCTTCTGTAGAAATTTCAATTGTCTCTTCCTGATGTTAAGTATAAGTTTCCTTTTTGTTTCCATTTTATCTAAAACGTCGTCGTTGCTCACATATTCAGTCCATGGTATCCTCAGCATCCTTCTGTAGAAATTTCAACTGTCTCTTTCTGATGTTAAGTATAAGTTTCATTTTTGTTTCCATTTTCTCTAAATTTTCGTCGTTATTCACATATTCGGTACATGGTATCCTCAGCTTCCTTCAGTAGAATCACATTTCTGTTACTTTAATCTTTGAGTAGATTGTTCAGCATTCACTGACACATAAGAGGACAAATATTACGCACCTGTATCGTATGTCCGTTTTTGTTTGTTATTTCATTGAAGACAACAGCGTCTGAATCATCGTTCATCACTTCTTGTCAGCCATTTTCCTGTAGAACGTGTGCTATTGCCGTCACTGTCTGGCCATCACCAAACAAATATTTTTTCTTTTTAAATTTTAACCTATAGCATCCATATAGATGTTACTTTGTTTTTATAAGCCCATTCCGTTTAGGACGTCGACGGTCATGGCTCTCCACATTCCTTTTCTTTATTATCTGGGAATTGCCATGTCTTCTTGCCAAATATAATGGAGTGGTTTCCCGTCATCTTTTCCCGGTTTGGAATTCAGAGTTACTCTTTTCTTTAATTGGCTGCCACTCAAGACTAGAGAACACATCCCACCGCGCCATTTAAACTAAAACTGGTTGGTTGCATGCAATGCCTCGAAAACCAAACTAATTATATTTCATTATCGCCGCTCGGAACCCGAAATACCACCAGTCCCGATGAATAGATGACCCCTCGGGCAGGCCCATGTCTTGTGAGACATTGAAACGCACCCCAGACCTATTTTTATTTTGTATATTTTTGCATACTCTATTCGGTTTTCGATTTTTGAGTAACGTAGTAATTTTTTATCGTTACAAAGCAGTTATAGCTATCTTCTCGTCGAATTTTGTGATTGATTGTTGAAGTCTATTCTAACGGTTATTTTGGCGGGATTGGTTTGTTGATATGTTTATTGCTTACTTTATATATATATTTATTTATTTATTCAGATTGATTATTTTTTATTTGTATTTTATGTATTTATTTTCTATTTTTATTTATTTTATTTCGTCTATTCTAACGGGAGTCTTTTGTTAATTTGTTTATTATTTCCTTGTGTTTAATTTTTTTATATTATTTTGTTTATTTTTTATTATTCTTTTCAGTTTTCGATTTTTAAGTAACATAGTAAAAATTTGTTTTCGTGTCTGCATTTTGAGATGAGCTCAGATCGTTTATTTAGTAATAACTATAATGTACTAATAACTATTTTTCCTTCAATATAAAAATATACAAAATAAATAAGAAAAAAAAATTAAGCAAAGAAATAAGAAAAAAAATGATATATATATATATATATCTTCAGGATTCCTATTTTTATTAAATAAGAGGGTCATTCAATAAATAAGGTGAATTTTTCGATATAAGGACTTCTAATACAGATAGAAGCTGACTTTGTTTTTTAACCTAGTCTCCCAGCACTGTCACACACTTTTCCCATCTGTGCACAAGCTTCCGTATTCCCTCAGCGTAAAAATCTTTGGACTGATGTCTCAACCAGTCGCTCACAACACTTTTGACTTTATCGTCACTTTTAAACTTCGTGCCTCTCGTGAACGCTTTCAAGGGACCAAACAGGTGAAAGTCTGAAGGGGCAAGGTCTGGGGTGTAAGGGGGATGAGGGAGCAGTTTCCAGCCCAGCTCGTTGATGGTCTGCACCGTCTGGGCTGCTGTGTGAGGCCTTGCGTTGTCATGATGCAAGATGACTCCTTCTGACTGATGACCCCTGCGTTTGTTCTTTATGTCTTTCTTGACCTGCCTCAGCAGTTCACAGTAGTTCTTCTGTCAGACTGAATGAGGTCATTGACTGATTCGATCACCTCAGGAGACCTCACTTCTGTAGGCCTCCCAGGCCTGTCTTCATCCTCAACACTGTTCCGTCCTTCTTTAAACAATTTAGCCCACTTGTAGACATTTTTTTTTGCTGAAACATGTGGCACCATACACAGTTGACATTGTCCTATGAATTTCAACTGGTTTGCACCCTTCAGCAACCAAAAACTTGATAACTGACCACTGTTCAATCCTGGAGCATGCTTCTTGGTCGGCCATCTTTGTTAATCGCCAAAACTCTCAAAGTTTTTTTTTTAATCTGCAAAAGAAATTAGATCCAAGTGAAAAAGAAGTAAAACAAAAAACAAATAAAATAAAAAAAATAAAAAAAAGTAAGCTTCTATCTGTATTAGAAGTCCTTATACCGAAAAATTCACCTTATTTATTGAATGACCTTCATACGTTAATTCGGGAATAAAAGTTGATTCTAAAATCGAATATTATTTTCCGAATAACTTAACATTTCTGTGTACATGTTTAACTTTTTGTCTATCTGCAGGCGCAGTCAGTTTATTCCCAGCAATGTTTGGGCGTTATTATATCTTTCCCGTAAGAATTTAGTGTAAATGTGACACAAGGCTAAAAGCGGGATGAGGAAGGCTGGTTTTCTCCTGTCGTACCTTTAGACAAGCTAATCACAATAGTTGACCCATCCGTAAACGGCGTTGGCTTTAATGTCAGTCAGTGGCTCGGAACTGTTGCTGTGGAAACTTTTTTTCTGGCGTTGATATTTTTGGATAGAATTCCGGAAGTGGATGCACGCAGTCGGATGAAATGAAGGTCTGTTTTTGTCATATGACTTCTGGATGTCAAAGTGAGTTAAGTTTCCGTTTGAGTTAAAGAAATGGAGTCTCCAACGGGGTACATCAAGCTGATTGATTGTTTCTGTTCGCATCCATTTACAACTAGTTTCATCGGCATCGGTATGAAAATAGATATACTGAGGTTTTCTGGCGTATCGCCACGGGTTTAAAAATAATAAACACAATTTTATTTCAGCAGCGAGTAAAACTCACTATTTTATGAACAAATAAAATGCCAAATTAATCGTATAAAAATAATTATCCGAAAAATAATTAATTATAAATTATTGGAAATTAAAAAAAACCTTATTAAATTGGAAGGATGTCTGTAAAAATACAAATATTGCCGAATCCAACATGTTTTCCC